CAAACAGTAATATCTCCCTCAAAGTAGCTGATTCCAATATTTTATTAACCTGTCAGTGAATGACAATCCTCTAAAGTGACTCTAATAATTATACTTCCATCAGTACTGGATCATAGTTCTCCCATCTTTACCAAATGTATGTTGTCATATTAAAATTCATGCCCTCAGCCGGGCTCGGTGGGTCAGCCTGTAATCTCTCGCCTTTGGGAGGCTGAGGTGAGTGGATTGCCTGAGCCCGTGGGTTCAAGACCTGCCTGGGCAGCAAGACTTCATCTCTACAATAAATCAAAAAATCAGCTGGGCGTGGTAGCGCATGCCTGTAATTCCGGCTACCTGAAAGGCTGAGGCGGAAGGATCGCTGGAGCCCAGCAGGTCAAGGCTGCGGTGGCTGGGAGCGACCACTGCACTCCAGTCTGGGCGACAGAGTAAGACTCTAACTCAAAAAAAAAGAAAAAAAAAAAAAATTCATGCCCTCCTAATTCTTTTTAACTTAGTAAACACTTACTTAGGGCCTACTATATGCCTGCTATCAAGAGCATCACAAATAATAATTCATTTAGTCTCATAATATCAGGTACTATTAGACAGGTACTATTATTACCCCTATTGTATATAGAATACAAACCAAAGCATAGAGAATAAATGAACTTGCTCAGGTGGTGTGGCTGGGATTCAAATCCAGTCTGGCTTCAGAGTACATGCTATTTAAGATTATTCAAAATTGACTCATTCTTATTTTAAAATTTTGAGTTGGACATGGTGGCTCATGCCTTTAACTCAGCATTTTGGGAGGTTAAGGTGAGAGAGTTGCCAGAGCCCAAGGGTTTGAGACAAGACCAGGTCTCTACAATAAATCAAAGAATTAGTCGGGCATGGTGGTGTGCATCTGTGGTACCAGTTACTTGGAAGGCTGAGGTGGAAGGAGCACCTGAGCCCAGTAGCCTGAGAATGCAGTAGCTATCAAGGTGCCACTGGACTCTAGGGCAACAGAGCGAGACTCTGACTCAAAATAAAAAATGAAAGTAAATTAAAATTAAAATAAAAAATATAAAATTTTGTATCTTAAATCACAGATTCACTGATTAAATACATCTAAGGATTAATTTATAAGGATGATCATCACAGTTCATTACAGAGGTGGCTAAATAAAAAGTATACATATAATAAAAATAACCAAGCCGGGCTCGGTGGTTCAGCCTGTAATCCCATGCCTTTGGGAGGCTGAGGTGAATGGATTGCCTGAGCCCGCGGGTTCGAGACCCGCCTGGGCAGCGAGACCTCATCTCTATAATAAATCAAAAAATCAGCCGGGCGTGGTAGCACATGCCTGTAATTCCAGCTGCTTGGAAGGCTGAGGCGGAAGGATCGCCGGAGCCCAGCAGGTCGAGGCTGCGGTGGCCGGGAGCGGCCACTGCACTCCAGTCTGGGCGACAGAATGAGACTCCAACTCAAAAAAATAAAAAATAAAAAATAACCAAACCACGCAGCCATTAAAAATTATGCATTAGAAAAATAATTCCGTAATTCAGTTACTTATCAAGCACCTACTATGTGGCAAGCAATTGTAGGCAGTAAGGATACAATGCCATATGGACTGAATGCTTGTGTCTTTCCCCAAATTCATACTGAAGCCCTAGCCCCAAGGTGGCTATATTTCAAGATGGGGTTTCTAAGAAGTAATTAAGGTTAAATGAGGTCATAAGGGTAGGGCCCTGATTCAACAGGATTAGTGTCCTGCTGGAAGAGATACCAGAGAGCTTGCTGTCCTATGTGCACATGCTTGCTCGCTCACTCTCTGTGCATATGCATCTAAGAAAGACTATGTGAAGATGTAGCTGTCTACAGGCCAGGAGACCCCTCATTAGAAACTGAATAGGCCCCAGAACCTTGATCTTGGACTTTCAGCCTCCAGAACTGTGAGAAAATAAATTTCTGTTGTGTAAGCCACCTAGTCTATGGTATTTTGTTATGGCAGATAATACAAGTTGTAAGAACAAAGTCCTCACAAAGATGGCACTCCAGTGCAGTAAGCCAATAAAAAGGTAAGTAAACAAATATACCATGTAAATTTGGCTAGTGACACAAGGCCAAGAAGAACAAGAAACTAGTGGGAGGTAGAGATTATTTTGGAAGAAATCAGGAAAGTCTTTCCAAAGATGTTCCATGTGGCAGGAATTTGAGCAATGTGAAGGAGGCTGCTCTATGTGCAACTATCTAAAGTCCTGAATGGTTTTCAGAGAGCATCCAAACGGGTCTAAATACCACATCAGCTCTCCTGCTTCCTCAGTGTCTGGAGAAGGCAGTAGGAAATCCCTAAAAGCCTACTTCACTCACACTGGGCAGGGTATAGTTTACTGGTTATCTATATAGAGCCTTCTGCCTTTATTCAATCATATAATTTCATAGCTAAGAAAAACTCACACAAAAACCTTACCCCTTTTATGCCTCCAATCCTCTCCTCCCTTCTTTTTAGCTTTGGAATATACTCTGATTCACAAAAATAGGTGAAAAATATAGATATATACATAGAAGTCTGGAAATCTAAATACCAATAATATCTGGAAAGGGAACACAAGCCCTAAGTTCTGATACTTTAAGTATAATATTTTTAATCTGGCCTCGAAAGAAAATGACATTACCCTCTTTAATTTGTAAGATAAATATCCTCACTATCCAAACATAAATGGATTGCCCTATGCTACCATGTTAGTAACAAAGGCAGGTGAAGAGCCTCTGTGATTTGGACAAATACATACAACTGAATAGGTAAAACAGACTAGTAGTTAAAAACTCACACAGGCTGGGCTCAATAGCTCAGTCTGTAATCCCAGCACTTTGGGAGGCGGAGGTGAGTGGATTGCCTGAGCCCGCGGGTTTGAGAACAGCTCGGGCAACTTGGCGAGACCTCATCTCTACAGTAAATCAAAAAATTAGCTGGGAGTAGTAGCGCGTGCCTATAGTTCCAGCTACTTGGAAGGCTGAGGTGAAAGGACCACCAGAGCCCAGCAGGTTGATGATAGAGTGGCTGTGAATGTGCCACTACCCTCCAGACTGGGCGACAGAGTGAAACTTCAACTCAAAAAAAAAAAATCACACAAACATCATTCCTCAACATGACTGTTGAGCTGCTCACTCACCCCCTTCTCGTCAATTGCTAGAAATACTGGGGCACAGTCAGATAGAATTTGTTTTTAAGTTTTTGTCTTTTAATTCTTATTCTCAAACAATAAAATCCTTACTTCTGAAAATGTCAGGCAATAAAATATATCCCTTTGTACTCGGAGACATCTCTAAGATCACCTACCAGCAACTCGACCACACTTTTTCACGAAATAGTAAAAAATGAATCATTTCATACTAAATAGTATAGCACTGTAATGACATTTGGCTTATAATGAAATCTCGGACATTGAGAAACTTATTTATGGCAAAAAAAATCAAAATTTTATATCTTATATTTTTCTTTTCTTTTTTTTGAGCTGGAGTCTCACTCTGTCGCCCAGACTGGAGTGCAGTGGCCGCTCCCGGCCACCGCAGCCTCGACTTGCTGGGCTCCGGCGATCCTTCCGCCTCAGCCTTCCAAGTAGCCGGAATTACAGGCATG